ACCAAAAATCACGCAACCTACTTCACGCAACCAAAAATTACATTTCGAAACATAAATTTTTGTCTAAAAAAATCCTGTATTGTTTTCGATCTTATCTAGTTGCTGCGTGATTTTCCCACACTCTCCTCACAACAGTGTTATGCTCATTGTCCCAGCAGAATTTGTATTGTGTATAAATGAACAAGTTTAAATAAAAACAATAATTTATTTACAATTATATTAATAAGCTGAAAATTATAAATTAATACCAACCTCAAACCTGTTAAACCATGCATTGATTTGAGGCATCCATTCAGGATGCTTGGATTTCTGACTCCATTGAAACAATGGAATCTCCATCGATGATTTAAACGCCGATAATATTACTCGGGCGGCTTCAATGTTTGTGAACCTGAAAATAAATAAAATAAATTCAATAGTGATTATTTCATAAATTATGTTGTAATTTGTTTTTAAAAAACTAAAACCTTAACAAACTTATATTGAAAGATCATCCTTCCACTGTGCCTCGTACTGGCGGTTAAATTAATTCCGCTGTGAAGGCATGCCGCCTCTGCACTGTGAAGTAGCGCTGGAAGAGGCAGCATCGGTTGACGGTGTAAGTGGTGTAAGTGCCTCTTCTTGAGAGGCACCTAAGGAAATATCATCATCGCTGCTAGATGAACTAGCTGCGACCATACGTGAGCGACCAACTCTGGTTTTCGTTCTACGCATCTATATAATTTTATACAAATAATTATATAATTAAATTCAAATGTTAAAAAAAATTCGACAGCACCTCCCCTATACTGGATACTACCCAAATCCACAAACCTACACATATTAACAATAGCCACAACCAATTTACCCAATCTATACTAATTATTCCAACATATTCAATTCCTAATCCTAAGGTAAATTCAACATTAAAAATTACAATTCAACAAATTATTCAATAATTATGCCAATACAACAAAACAATAAATTAAAAAAAAAACTCTAGAATAACAATCAAAATAAATGGAAAAAATTAAACCCAAATCATGCAATAATAAAGTAAAATTAATAATTATTCCAACATATTCAATTACTAATCCTAAGATAAATTCAACATTAAGAATTACAATTCAACAAATTATTCAATAATTATGCGAATACAAAAAAACAATAAATTAAAAAAAACCATTAAAGTCAATTCTATGGTAAATTCAACATTAACAATAAATATTCAACAAATTAACTAATAATAATTATGCCAAAACAACAATAAAAAATATTCAATAAATTAAAAAAAAACTATAAACTTTAGCAATGAATTATGCAAAAAAAACTATAGAGTTTATCTACATTACAAAAAATACACCAAAACAAAAAACATAACAAAAAAATAGCAAAAAAAAAAACCATTAAAGTAAAATGAAAAAGAAGAAATACTAACCTTTTAAATTAATGGAGATTCACGATAAAAAATGCTTGAGATCGCCGGTGAAGAACGGAGAGCAGTACAGAGAGGAAAAGAGTGGTGAAAAACTGAGGAGAAGAAAAAATGAACTGAAGAGGCGGTCGGGGGGCACTTATATGCCAGTTTTACCGACGGATTCACCAACAGATATAAAATTAATAATTATTTTAATTTATTCCATCGGTGAGGTGTTAAAAATCCATCGTTAAATTTTGAATTTCGCACCAAATTTTTTAATGTCCCTCCATGTTTTTCATGGTCCGTCGATAAATCCGTCGGCAATATGATATGGTCAGAGATGCATTTAATGCACAACGCTTTGAAATGCAAGCTGTCCGTCGGTAAGTTTGTCGGTAAAATTAAACCGCCGCCAACATGCCGACGGATATAAATCCGTCGGTGTTGCCGTCGGTAAAGTGGTGGCATTTCAAGTAATTATTTTCGAACTCTCTGTGAAATATCGACGGACTTAATGCCGTTGGTGTTTCCGTCGGTGATATGGTGGCATTTCAAGTAATTATTTTCGAACTCTCTGTGAAATGTCGACGGATTTAATGCCATCGGTGTTGCCGTCGGTGATGTGGTAGCATTTCAAGTAATTATTCCATGTTACAAAATATATCATCCATGATCAATAATTATTTCAAGTAATTATTTTGTAATTGTGGCATTTCAACTAATTATTTCAAGTAATAAATATTTTATGTTTCAAAATATATCATCCATAATTTAAATTACATGAAAAAAGGGTTTTACATAGGGATTCATTTTGGTAGTTAGTCAGAATTTTCTTCTTCATCGTCATCAATTGAATAGTCATCAGCTTCATCGCAATCTTCAATATGAATATCATCTTCTTCATCGACAATTGCTTGTCCGCTAGAGCTCAAAATAAAATTCAACTCCTCTGCGTTAACATCAACAAGACTATCATCGAAAATACAAAAATTTGAATTTTCTTCCAATTCAATCAAAGGAGTAACTCGATATGGTTCAACCACCTCACTAACTTGAAAGACTTCATCTCGCACACTTGTATCTTTGTTCTAATCCTGAACAACCTCGACACGACCCTACGGTTTTGTTTTTAAAACGGACAACCAATCCACTCTTGATTGATCCTTTCTAAATGAAAGGGTGTATGTGTAATAAACTTGTTGACATTGCTTTGCGAAAACAAAGACATCGTTTATGTTGCGGAGTCTAGCTTTTGAGTTGATTTTGACCAAACCATAGTGCGGATCAACTCTGATTCCTCTGTCAGTCGTGTCATACCAATAGCATTTGAATAAAAACACTCTATTCTGCTCGTTATGATATTGCAGTTCGACGACCTCTTCTAATCTACTATAGCAGTCAACTTCTAACTCACTATTAGTGGATCCCTTAACACAAACACCACTGTTGTATGTCTTTCTTCCTTGCTCATATTCTTCAGTATGGAAAACATATCTATTGACAAAATATCCGTTGTAGCACTTACATTTTCTTTCAGGCCCCAGGCTTAGTGAAGACAATGACTTAGGTGCACTCCTTCCCATTTGATAAACCTTGTATGTAATGTACATCAATAAACAGTAAATGAACGAGAATCTCATAATGACGTGCATATGTATAATAATTTTACAAGTTAGAATGAGTTTGTGATAGTGCTTACATGTGTTCTGAACCACGTGGCAAACTGCTCATCTTGTAATTGAAAGATCTGGGATTCGGTCAGCTGTGAGTTGTTGGAGAGCAAATATTGTCGATGTTGCCTACAAGTGATAATGAGTGTATGATATTACAATATATAATTAACAGTATATACTAACAAAGTTTAATTAGTATAAACTTACTGAATAAAAGGTCTCAGCTCATCACAGTTAAATAGAACATAGTTGTGTGCTTGTTTGAATTCTATTTTCGACAAATATCTTCCTCTTACAGCATTTTTAGGTGTGGGTCGTCCAGTATTGAAGAATATTGACAAGTTCCCACTGGAAGGCACTTCACCGCCATCATTATGTCAGGGAACGCGATTGATTCTGGTTCTCAGATGAGGTTCGAAATAGTACGAGATAAATGTTGAGATCTCCTCAACAATATAGGCCTCACATATCGAAGCCTCAACATGCGCCTTGTTCTTAATCTTTTTCTTGAGATTAAACAAGTACCTGCATTGAAATATTAATGAAGTATTTTCAATTAAGAAAAACATATAAAATACTTTTATATATGAATTACATTGTAACTATAATATCTAACCATTTGAATGGGTACATCCATCTATATTGGACCGGTCCTCCAGCTTTTTCCTTGAACGGTAGGTGTATAGGGAGATGCTCTATTGAGTCAAAAAATGATGGAGAGAATATCATCTCAAGTTTACATAGTGTTTCGACGATATTCATTTGAAGCCTTTCAATGTGATCAACATTCAACTTGCTTGAGCATATATCTCTGGAGAAATGACTGGCCTCCGTGAGTGCATCACATATTCCCTTTGGCAACAAATCATGAAAAGCTAATGAGATAAGTGTTTGCATAAACACGTGGCAGTCATGACTCTTCATTCCATACAATCTGCAGTCCTTTAGATTAACCAGCTGTGATATGTTCGATGCATGTCCATCCAGAAAATACAGACTCTTAAGCCATTTGTAGATTAGTAGTTGTGCGTTTTTCTCTAACACGAAACTTGCTCTTGGTTTTGCTACCCGTGACTCATCATAAACCAACTCTATATTTTTATGGTTACAGTATTAAGCTATATCCAATTTAGCCTTGATGTTGTCCTTTGTCTTTGCCTTCACATCCATGACGGTGTTGAAAATATTCTCAAACATGTTCTTTTCGATGTGCATGACGTCAAGGTTATGGCGGAGCAGATTGGTCTTCCAATAAGGAAACTCCCAAAAGATACTTCACTTTACCCAATTATAGGTCAAACCAAAACCAAGAAACTTTTGCTTACCTGATTGAAGGCCAAACACAATGTCACCATACTCTGAGACAACATCATGCAATTCTTCACCATAAAGACGTGGGGATGCAACATCTTTTTCAACTCTACCAACAAAGAAATCTTTTCTATTCTTTCTATACCTGTGATTAAGTGGCAAGAAGCGACGATGACAGTTAAAAAAAGAAGCTTTGCCTCCATTTGCTAGCATGAATGCCTTGTTGTTTTCCATGCAGTATGGACATGCGAGTTTCCTATGCGTGCTCCAACCATAAAGAATTCTATAAGTTGGAAAATCATTGATAGTCCACATCAAAGCCGCCCTCATAAGGAAATTTTGTTTCCTCGATATATCATAAGTCAGAGCTCCAAAGGACCACAACTGCGCCAACTCATCAATTAATGGTCAAAGAAAAACATCTATATTCCATCCCAGGCTGCTTGGACTGGGTATGACAGTAGATAAAAACATGAACTCCGGCCTCATACACATTACCGGTGACAACTTATAAACTGTAAGTATGACTGGCCAACAAAAAGATTGAGTAGCAAATGACCCAAATGGGTTGAATCCGTCTGTACACAACCCAAGACGCACATTCCTTGATTTAGCTGAAAAGTGAGGATGGACACTGTTAAAGCGTTTCCACGCTTCGCCGTCAGAAGGATGAACCATCACTCCATCAACTGCATGGCGTGTTTGGTGCCATGTCATATGCTTAGCTGTCCTTGGTGACATGAATAACCTCTGTAGTCTAGGTGTGATTGAGAAGTATCTAAGTTTTTTATATGCCACTAGAGTCTTTCCCCTGCCAGTTCTAGTTTTGTAACGGGAATGCCTGCATGTCATGCACTCGGTCATCTCAGCATTTTCAAGGTAGTATAACATGCAGAAGTTAGGGCACATGCCAATTTTCTGGTATCCTAAACTGAGGGGTTTCATCATGGATTTCGCAGCATAGAAGTTCTCTTTCAGTCTGTTCTCTTTAGGTAAAATGCTTCTTGCCCATTCAATAATCTTGTCATACCTGACCTCATTTAACCTGTGCTCTGACTTGATGGTGAACACCTGTGCTACGACTGATAATTTACTGTGGTTCGTGCAGCCATCCCATAATGGTTGGTCAGAATCTTTCAACAAATCAAAAAACCTAGTTGCATCTATATTAGGTTCTTTTTCTATGATTGGACATTGACTGACATTACCTTGATTCATTCTCATTGCATCCATAACCATGTTTCTGTAAGGATTAATGTGGTCATTCTCGTTGCTAGCAGTAGAAGTAGACCCAACCACTGTTTCTTCCATTCTCCTCTCACTAACATATACTTCTCCATATGCATACCAACACTGGTAATTCTCCATAAACCCTTTGTGTAGAAGATGCATCATTACAACATCTGGATGCATATACTTTTTATTTTGACACTTCCTGCATGGACACCTAATACCGCCTCCAGTAAAATTTCTAGGAATAGATGTTGTGAAATTAATAAAACCCTAAACCCCGTTACAATAATCCATTCTTGGCAATCCTTGGGGTGAATCTCGATACATCTATGAACGATCGTCCATGATTTATATCGAACCTCTATAAACTTATGATGACATAATGTATTAATTAACTAAGTTAGGTAGATAAACTTGTAAAAATATTACTTTACCTCGAGATTATCCAACAAACCAATCACAACTTCTTATAAATATTAAATATTCATTATCATTTATCAACATCCATACAAATTAAAATATATAAATTTACAGAAATTACCACTCCGCAATACCATTAACAAAACTTTAAATGGACCTAATAAGTAAGTTATTAATTATTTCAAAACAGGACATGTACTTCGACAGTTCCGTAAAGTTTTAACAATTTACAAACAAATACAATCTTACAAAATCTAAAACAAACCATAACAGGTATAGAATTATACATTCATATACTATTTGAGAAATAACAATAAAACATGTACATTTATTAACAAAATACATATACTAAAAAAATGATAAAATTGACATTTAATTAAATGTTAAGATTTAAAAAGAAAGAATTACATACAAAAATTGATAAAATCTGTCGGTAAATCAGAACACGGATGTTGTGACCACAAAACTTGAAGAAATATAACTTGTTGTGCTAATATGAGGGAGATTTTTGTTTGGGGGGGATGGGGGGCTGGTTGTTTGCAGATGGGGAGAGTTGGGATTAGGAAGAAGAAGGAGAAATAAGGGAGGAGAGGGTCTGCAACGTGTATATATATTAACTTTTCTCGACGATTTCATCGATAGAAAATCCATCGGTGAAACCGTTGATGATTCTGACGGAACAATCGACACGTCACCGTACGGCTATGCCATTTCAAATTTGTTGGTGAATCCATCGGCAATATAAACAACGGTCGTTGTACGGGCTGTCTTTTTGAATTCGTTGGTGATTCCGTCTGAAAAAATAACCCGCCACGTCAGCGACCTTTTTTTTTACGACGGAAACGTTTCCGTCCGTAATTCAGTTGGTAACTACCGATGGAAAATTTCCGTCGGTAGTTACCGACTAAATTATGGACGGAATATAACCGTCGGTAATTTCAACCTCAAATTATCGACAAAAATATTCCGTCGGTAAATCTGTTGCTATTTAGCGAATTTCTAGTAGTGTTACTAAATTGACTCAGAATAGTTTTTTTTCTCCCTTTTAAAAACAGAGTGAAACAATAAAAACCCTTAAAAGCAAAAAACTTAAAATTGACTTACAAGGATTTTTTTAATTTTTTACAGTGATTTTTTTGTTATTAACCATCCAACTTAAAAAAATTTTGGTATTTTCATAAATATAGAAAATAATAAGAAAATAAAAAGCATAGTGAACAATCAAAATACCCTTGGAAGTTAAAAATTTAAACTTGTCTCGAGAGGTTTTTTCATATTTTCATAATAATTTATTTTGTTATTATTTGGTCAACTAAAGGGTAATTTGATATTTGCATAAAAATAAAAATTAATAAAAAATAAAAAGTGGCTAGCAGGTGTGGAAGGTGTCGTACGTGTACAGTGTTATGATGATCATCCACCCCAAAAAATTATATGTAGTTGATAGATGTATAATATATTCTGGCAAAATATGGAGAGACACGTAATTCTTATCTATTCTAGCAAAATATGGAGAGAAAAGTAATTATTATCTCTTATCAGTAAAATATGGACTGAGAGTCACTACTTAGTATTCTAGTTACTAGGAACCCTGACTGGTCTCAAAGATAGGGCTTGGAGATTGGTTGTGTAAAGAGAAGATATTAGTACCCCAAATATGTCCTACTTAAGGTAGGCTGCATTCTTTTGTCTGATAAAATCTAAGGTCTTGGTTGCGTGTTCTAATTGTTGATAAAGGGTTAAGAAAAGTCCTTTTTTGTAAGGAGATCCTTATCTTAGCGAGTAAAAATCTAACTATTCTATGTCAACAATGAAAAAAATATCCTTTTAATATCCAGAATATATTTTATGTATAAATTCGTAATCCCTTATACTAAAACAAAATAAAATAAAATTTTGTTGTAGCAGCAATTTTGGCCAATGTTCTCTTGACTTTAATAAACTGGTTATTAAAGGCAAAATGCATGCTAAAATATTTTTTTGGTGTATGTAATTAGTACTTAAAAGTGTATTTTTATCAAGGTTTTATATCATTATTTTGCACTTGAAATATCAATAACTTTTTAACTAAAACATGTTTTATAATAACATTTCTAATAATATAAGATATCTTTAATTTATGGTAAATATTCATCTTAAATGCAGGCCTATCACATAAATGAAAGGATTAATTGATGAGTTTAAGAACTTAAATTGAAAGGACAAAGAGATGGCCAAACTTAAAAAAGAGATGCTGATGCAGTCCAAATCAGAGCACTGTTCGGTAATTGGGTTATATCTGGAGCTGTAGATCTCGAATTTAGGTCTACTTTATATGGATAGAAAGGTAAGACATAGACATAGAACTTTCATAGAGCCCAAGATTTAAAAAGGTCGTTTTCAAGTCTAAATTGTACCAACAACGAAGAAGTCCAAATCTGTCTTGCAGCCTGAACACTATTCAGTTTTTGGCCCATATTTGGAGTTCTAAAGTCCAAATGACCTTAATGTTTTTCCTTGGAAAGCTGAGACAATTTCCTAGAACTTTTA